AGCCTTCAGCCTAAACAGCTGGGAAAGCAATGCAATGAAAACATTCTAGAACTGGGGGCAGGTACCTCCCAGGTAAGTGTGGGGTGCTTCATATACTATAATATGCATAAATACCTTGAGAGGAGATTATTTCCTCACATTGGCATTCTTGAGTTGTAGCAGTAAATTATACCCAGAGTGTTCATTTCCTGTGAAATGTGCTTTGTAATGAATGATGTCAAGTTCTTGCTATGAAGAAGCTGACTTGAGATTAATGAAATGACACTCATCGACGCGGAGATAGAAATAAATTGCAGGGGAGGGGCAGGGGGAGTTACACACCTGCAGTGATACTCGGAAACACATCAATGCTCTCTGTTGATGTTGTCACCCAAATATTTGGCTTGGACTTTCATGTAAGGATTAAAATTATGTTAGACATATGGTTAGATCTAGAGTGGACAAAATCATCCAGTCAACATGAGACTGGCCTTAGTGGCGGAGGAATTCAGGCCTATAGAGGCTGAGAACCTACATCCTATTGGCAGAGTGTCAAGTTCCACCACGTGAAATGTACTTGTTTCTTTTTTTCTGCCCCTGCAACAACCCCTACTGCCATTTAGTAACTGCAGGAAGGTGGGAGTGGCAAGTAGGTATCATTCTCCCAGATCTGCTTTTTTCTTCCTTTGGTGAACCGCTAGAATACTATTATTAAATAGTTATTAAATGCCTGTGGTGTGCCTCATTGGCAGATAGGTAGGCTAAGAGAATGGTGGAAATTCACTATTTCCATTTATTTCATTTTATTTTTCATGTCAGGAGCGACTTGAGAAACAGCAAGTCCCTTCTAGTGTGTGAGAATTAGACATCTACAAGGATGTTGCTCAGGGGACGCCCTGATGTTTGATGTTTTACCATCCTGTGGGAGGCTTCTCTCATGTCCCTGTATGGGAAGAAAGAGCTGAGAAGGGATCTCACCCAGCTAGCCAGATTCGAACCACTAACATGTCGGTTAGCAATCCTGCCTGCACAAGGGTTTAACCCATTTCACCACCGGGGGGTCCTATCTCCATTTATGATAACCATAAAAAGAAGTTACCATGCAACATTATGCTTGTATATATTGCAAATTGGATTTTGTCCCTTGTCTCAAAATGTAGGCAAAGATCCTGCATTGTGGGAAATAACTACAGTGATGGGAGTCCTGTTCATATTTGATGCTATCACCTTCCCAAATCCTTTAAAAAAAATCTCTCAGTGCCTCAACCGAGAGGTTTCTGAGGAGCTGAGGATCAGGGAATGGGAAATGTCTGCAGCACTCTTCCAGTTGTGGGTAAAGGCAGCTAGAGCAACACCTTGGGTTCTGCCACAACTGCTTCTTTCAGTGTGTCCCATGGCTGTGTGCAGCAGACTTAATTTCTGCTCCCTAATCTACAATGCTTTTAGCCTGGCTAAAAAGATAGATTCTGGAGAATCTGCAGTTATGAAATTGTAAATCCATTTTATTATTCTATAGACCAACCACAATGTTTTCAAGCCCTTTGCATTTAGTGGCAAAGGTCGGCAGCCAGGTTGTTAAGCGGAGCGAATTACAGGGAGTGGTCAACCCCCTGTTCAATCAGCTCCACTGGCTGCTAATAAGTTTCTGGTCTCAATTCAAGGTGCAGGTTATCACCTATAAACCCCTAAATGGTTTGGGACCTGCCTATCTTCGCGATCTCATCTTCCCTTATGAACCTGGACGATCTCTAAGATCCTCTGGGGAAGCTCTCCTTTCGCTCCCACCTCTATCACCAGTGTAGCTGGTGGGGATGAGGGAGAGGGCCTTCTCGGTGGTGGCCCCCCGGCTCTGGAATTCTCTCCCCAGGGAGATTAGACTGGCACCCACCCAGTCCATCTTTCACAAAGATCTAAAAGTGTGGATATTCCACTATACTTTTGATTAGATGGTTTCCCCAGAAAATTTGGCTCCCAGTTATGACCCAAATTCCTGTCCCTGCACTTTACTACTGCCCAGAGATATAGCGTTCTACGTAACATTGTCCTTTGTCCTCAATTTTTGTCATTTGGCACTTGCACTGTATCTATCAGCCCTTTTCTCACAACTGATTGCATTCCCCACCCAAGCCCAGAACTATTTTGCTATTTCAACCTACGTGTGGTTGTTTTTATATTGCATTATGCTGTTGTTGTTTTATTTTGCTTATGTTGTTGTTTTATGACTTTTAATGTGTTATATTTTAACTATGTTAATCAGGCGTTTCTCATATAAGCCGCCCCGAGACCTTCGGGGAGATGGAGGCGGAATATGAAAATAGAGTTGTCGTTTTTGTTATTGTTGTTGTTGTTGTTATTATTATTATTATTATTATTAAAAGGTGCTATATTAGCCAAAATGTCTTACTTAGTGGCAAGCCCATTCCTTTTGAGGACATTAGGAACACATAGTCCATCAACCTCAGAAATGTCTCCACAAAGTGGCAGCAGCTCTCTAGAGTTCAACATAGACATCTTACTCAGTTTTGCCTAGAAATTATAGGAATTGAATCAGGGACCTTCCATATTCAAATATGGAGTGGTAGCTTTTTAAAAGTAAGAACTGACATTATCTCTTAATCTTTTTCCCTAATGTAGATTCTAAAAGTCATTTCAAAGAATGTAAACCGAGCAAAACATGAAAACATACATAAGGTTGCTTCTGCTTTGAGCATGTACTGTTTGCATTACTGAGTATAGCATGAATTTTAGTGTCAGGTGATGCTTCTAGGAAACGTAAGGCCAGAATCTTCTCAGTGGCTTACAATGGAATAACTAGGGCTTTCTCAAATGTTGTACAGGGACGTACCTTGAGTCTCCTGCACAATGCTTTCTTCCATACTGTAAAAAGAGGAGCTGGATGGCACCTGTGTGCAGCTCAGCCATGATCCGAACAGCCAGATCGGTGAGGTGTGTGTCTTGCCTTTATACTACTCACGGAAAAGAGGAGGCTGATACTGTGCTCTTCGAGACCTTTACCATAAGTATGCTGGGAGGGTTTTAAGTTCTACCAATTTGAATAGAATCATTCTGATTGAATGCCCTATATAAGGAATTGAGTTGATTGACAAACTGATCCCTCTGCATAGCAATGAGATGGAAAAGGCTGCATTGGAATGGGAGCAGCGGAGAACACTTGCAATGTGGGTTCTGCGGTGAATTTGCTTGTTGCATGACTGGTAAAGAATTACAAACTACAATGATGTAAACAAAATGACTTGTGATGGTGTAAACCTCACTTAGGCCATTATAATTCACCAACAGCATTCTCCTTTTTTTCTCTTGAATTTGAAAGGTTTGGGATTGCTTGGAATGGTTTGATTTAAAATATAGGATGTGTATCCTATACAAAATAGGGAGGAGGGAATCTGGAGGGGAGAACTTAATTTTCTTCATTTCATTTTCACCACATTTGAACATTGTGTTTGGGATGTTCTAACGTAAAACATAAACTACATGTACCCATTAGTCTAAATCTAAGAGCCTTTGAGGTCTTTCCCCCTTTTTTTTTCATACACAGTATAATACAGTTGGTGGAAAAATTGGATAGGACTACTCTCTCAGGGGTAATTGAAGCTGATGCCCAATATGAAGAATTTTGAGTACTCAAACATGCCTACTAATCAGCCAGAATAGTTGAAACTGAATTATACTTCACCATGCTTAATGATTCTCTTGAGCATTGGTGGGCACCATTGGTAGTATTAGATGACATCTATAAAGCATGTTAAAACAAGAACGATCAAGGAATTCTGGTTGGGAGGATTAGGAAAGTTTTCTCCTGTGAGAAGATATGCATTCATTTGGATAACTGAATACTGTACAAATGGGCCACCAGTTTTTTAAATCTAGTGTACATGCAATAATTTTGAGGGCATTGATGCAAAGCTGAACAATAGTGTTTGAGTGATAAAGGTCTCAACACAACCAGATTAGATGCACTGAATCAATGGGATTTGCACAATTGTTGCCTTACCACTCAATCAAACTCAGTGGGTTGACATACTGGGGTTAGCAATTTAGGCCAAAGTGCTTTTTTACTTGGAAATAAATCAGTGGGGTTTACTTACTAATGTGTGTTCAGGGTTGCAGCTTATGAGTTTGGCTTTGCTTACCATGTGGGGGTATTCCCGTCTTTTTTATAACCAGTATAGCTAGACTATCGCTTCAGGTCAGCCAAGTCACGGTACCACTGAAATTCAAATGATGATAAATCGGTTGAACTCAAGTAACTCAGGAGTTAATGTGTTGTTGAAGGCTTTCATGGCCAGAATCACTGGGTTGCTGTGAGTTTTTTGGGCTGTATGGCCATGTTGCAGTAGCATTCTTTCCTGACATTTCACCTACATCTATGGCAGACATCCTCAGAGGTTGAGAGGTCTGTTGGAAGCTAGGCAAGTGAGATTTACATATCTGTGGAATGCCCAAAGTGGGAGAAAGAACTCTTGCCTGATTCAGGCATGTGTGAATGTTGCAATTGGTTACCGTGATTAGCAAAGCCATTCAGTGCTAATCAAGGTGGCCAGTTGCAACATTCATACCTGCCTCCAATAGACAAGAGTTCTTTCTCCCACCCCGGGCATTCCACAGATATATAACCCACATTTGCTTAGTTTCCAACAGACCTCACAACCTCTGAGGATGCCTGCCGTAGATGTGTTCAAAATGTTAGGAGAGAATGCTTCTGGAGCATGGCCATACAGCCCGGAAACCTCACAGCAACTCAAGAGTTAAGTCATTTTGGAAGACTAGAGTGAAGTAGCACACTAGAGTTCCATAATTGGCAAATTGTGAAAATGTATCTGGAAATTACAGCCTGTAAATATTACATGGGGTGTAATACGGAAATTGATCTTAAATACTTTGGCATTCAGAGGTATTAATATCTATGATTTGTATTTATTTTCCATTAAATCATGTAGACCTAGACATATAGAGTGTAGTTTGACAATCATGGGCAATAAATAAAGACATGTACACAAATCTGCATTTTCTACATATTTAATAATACCATGTGCATTTAGAAGTGCTTGTCCAGATTTCTTTCTCAGCACATTGAACTGCAGGGAGCACACTTCTGTTAGAATGTCAAGTGGTAAGAAACATCACTTGGAAAATTACCAGAAGGTAATAATAGAGGGCTTATACTTCAAAACAAATGGAATATTTTCCTACTGCACTCATATTAATTCATATGGTCTGTCTGGGAAAGGCATTTGCTGTTTTCTGTCTTTTCTGTTGTATCTCCTTCTCCCCTCCCCCCCCCCCCTCCGACAGTGATTTGTAGATCTTCTTTATTCCAATTGCAAGCCAGCCTCACAGTCTTCCTTAAGCATCATCAAGTCTTGCACTAGGCTATGCTCTGCCCCATGGGTCACTTTCATAATATCATAAGCCTGGAGGAAAAAAGGAAAAAAAAGTCAACCAATCCATCATCTTTTATAGTATAAAATGTACACTATACCTTGCAGTCAGAGCTCAGGAGAAATTAATTCCTTTTCCTGAAGCCAAAATCCTTCTCCCAAAACAGTCAGCTTTCAACTTTTGCAGGGATTAGGGGCAGAGAACCACCACGAAAGTGGAAAAAACCAGAAATACCTCTAGGCCCCACAAAGCAACAAAAGCACCTGTCCTGCCAGGTTGTCTTGGCCTGACCGCATGTGTTCCCTCATACAATCATTCACTTGTGCTGGTGATGGGAAGGGGATGGGATGCGGGGCGGGGTGGGTGGGGGGAGGATATGTGTGTTCCCTTACATGATTACCCAGTGAGATAGGGTGGAAGGCCATAGGGCTGGGATACAAGGAAAGAGGAGAGATGTTCCATGGGTCTCCGGGCAGAAGGAGGAAACTAGAGGGAGTAAAGATGACAGTCAGAATGGCAATATCAGCAGTGGGAGAAAGGCAAATGTGGCAGGAGGGGTTGGACTGGATGGCCCATGAGGTCTCTTCCAACTCTTTGATTCTATGATTCTAGGAGGGGCTGCAATAGCTGGTCTTGCAGTTAGAATCATAGAATCATAGAGTTGGAAGAGACCTCGTGGGCCATCCAGTCCAACCCCCTGCCAAGAAGCAGGAAATTGCATTCAAAGCACCCCTGACAGATGGCCATCCAGCCTCTGTTTAAAAGCTTCCAAAGAAGGAGCCTCCACCACACTCCGGGGCAGAGAGTTCCACTGCTGAACGGCTCTCACAGTCAGGAAGTTCTTCCTCATGTTCAGATGGAATCTCTTTTCTTGTAGTTTGAACCCATTGTTCCCTTGCGTCCTAGTCTCCAAGGAAGCAGAAAACAAGCTTGCTCCCTCCTCCCTGTGGCTTCCTCTCACATATTTATACATGGCTATCATATCTCCTCTCAGCCTTCTCTTCTTCAGGCTAAACATGCCCAGCTCTAAGCCGCTCCTCATAGGGCTTGTTCTCCAGACCCTTGATCATTTTAGTCGCCCTCTCTGGACACATTCCAGCTTGTCAATATTTCTCTTCAATTGTGGTGCCCAGAATTGGACACAGTATTCTAGGTGTGGTCGAACCAAGGCAGAATAGAGGGGTAGCATGGCTTCCCTGGATCTAGACACTATACTCATATTGATGCAGGCCAAAATCCCATTGGCTTTTTTCCCCGCCGCATCACATTGTTGGCTCACTCTCTTGTCCACCCTGGATACTCAGGCACCAGCCACCACTTCTACTCCTCTTTCTTCATCCCATCCTCTTCCCAAGGGAAGGAGGGCATATATATACACACACCCGTCAGGCTCAGTCAACCTGCCAGTTTGATTTCTTCCAAGCAACCAAAAAATCGAGCACTGACTAAAGCCTAAGATAAGCACCAGTGTTGTTGAAGTCCTAATTAAAAGTGGCACAGGACAGTGGTTGTCAAGGCACCAAACTCTTTTCAGTAATGGTGCCTGGTTTTTAAAGTGGAGAGGGATTTATTTAGCATCTGTGTTACACCCTTTTTAAACCAGCCTATTATTTCCAGGAATTTTAAGAGCTTAATTTGTAATGCCTCAAGAACAAGCTGCTGGCAAAACTCTATTTTCAATTTCGTACATTCCTGGCAAGTGTTGCCACATTTTTCTGGAACTGAAGGTCTATATTTATTTAATTGGTGGATATTCATATGATTGATATATGGTGATACATGACTTGGTTACATCCTTTGTGGATTCTGTAACAGATTCAACTTAGGAGTGCTTTTAAAAAGTATTCAAAAACTTTAACTGGTACTGAATACAGGAAGCACACAACTCTCCTGCTGGAACAGTTGCACTGGCATCCAATCTGTTTCCGGGCACAATTCAAAGTACTAGTTATGACCAATAAAAGCCCCAACTGGCTCCGGTCCAGACAGATCATATCTCTCTGTATGAGTGAGCTCTGAGATCTTCAGGAGAGGCCTTTCTCTCAGTCCCACTGCCATTGCAAGCATAGTTGGGGGGATGTTAGGCAGGGCCTACTCAGGGGTGGCCCCTGGACTCATAAATTACCTTCCCAAGGAAGCCAGAGTGGTCCCCCCCCCCATTAATCTTCCAATGGCAGGCCAAAAGCATTTTATGCAGACAAGCTATTAAAACAAAAACAATGTATGTTCTTAATTGAATTGCTTTTCAGTTGTGATAGTGTACAAGACAGCTTACGATGTTTGAAAACAATGCAGAATTTTAAAAAGATATAACTTCAATAAAAGTAAAAATATCAATGATATTTAAAAAACAATTAAATTATAAATTTAAAACACAATAATGTTGTAACTTTCTAATAGGATCGCAAGGATGGAGCCTCCCAGGATGCTGTAAGGAGGAGAAACAAAGTCTGGGAGCAGCCACTAAGAAGACTGACCCTCTTGTTCCCACAAACAGAGCCTGAGAAGGTGGTGAGATACTGAGAAAGGCTTCTGCAGAGGATCATGAGCTCTTAGATACTACATACTATTTGGTTTCAGCCAATTTTGGGCTGGTTTGGGCTTTAACTTCTCATGGATTATGAGAAGTGAGGCTGCAACTTTTTAGGGAGGTTTCTTTCAGTTTGTGGAGAAAATCATCCCCCAAAATTGAAGCCATTTAAAACAAAGCAAATAGAAAAATTAAAGAACGATTTAATAGTACTGTTTGGGTTAGGTTACAATATAATTAAATATAATAAGCACAATTAAAATGCATTTTAAATCACATAGCCCCCACCCCAATGGATATATTTCAGTGTTGTGTATGCCTTCATTTTCAATTCAAGGTGAACGAATCATAGGATTTTCTTGGCAGGACCTGTTCCGAGGGCTTGCCATTGCCTACCTCTGAGGGTAAGAGAATGTCAGTTGTCGAAGGTCAACCAGTAAGTTTCTATGAATTCAAACCACTACACCTTGTTGGCTAAAAAAAATGTTGTAAAGCAATGCTTTTGGGTTGGAAGTTGCTGCCAGTTGCGAGAGAAATAAGGTTGAACACTGTGAAAGCCACCCATTGTATGGCTATCAGCCTCCTCCCTGCAGACTTAAATCAAGGAAAATTTCATGAGAACCACCACTCCTATAAATATTCCTTAATCAACAGCAAGAATATCCCTTTGGGCAGCAAAATCAGGCAATTCCAACTGGATGCCCTCCCCCACGAGGGTCTTCCTTCAAGGGCAAACCAAAAAGGGGAAACTTGGAAGTCCCTTAACAGACTCAGAAGTGGAGATGGCAGATCAAAAGACAACCTGGCGAAGTAGCACTACTTGATGAATCCTCCATCTTGTGACTGTGGAGCAGAACAAACAATTCAGCATCTGTATAGGACCCCCCAGTGGCGCAGTGAGTTAAACTCCTGTGCCAGAAGGACTGAAGACTGACAGGTCGCGAGTTCGAATCCGGGAAGAGCGTGGATGAGCTCCCTCTATCAGCTCCAGCTCCTCATGTGGGGACATGAGAGAAGCCTCTCACAAGGATGATAAAACATCAAAACATCCGGGCATCTCCTGGGCAAGGTCCTTGCAGACGGCCAATTCTCTCACACCAGAAGCGACTTGCAGTTTTTCAAGTCGCTCCTGACATGACCAAAAAAAAGCATCTGTATGCTTGCCCACAATGCACAGAGGAAGAACTGTTTAAAGCTACAGACAATGCAGTTGCTGTTGTCCGTTTTTGGTCGAAAACTATTTAGCTGCTTACAGGCCCGTAGCCAGGATTTTGATTCGGCGAGGGGGGGTGAGTTTGATACGGGGGGGGGTGAGTTTGATTTCGGGGGGGAGGCTCAGGATCTACCCTAGCAAACCTTTTGTATCATTATCCCAATACCCCCATGCATATGGATATATTGAGCATGGTGATCAGATCATGATATGAATAAACATAACAGTTTAAATAATGTACCAGTAAGGCCTTCTCGTGGACCACCATGAGAATTTGGGGGGGGGGCTGAAGCCCCTCAAGCCCCCCCCCCCCCCCCCCGCTACGGGTCTGGCTGTTTGTGATCCCTTTATTTTATCAGATTTTTTAATTTATGCAGTACTTTTGACATGAAACAAAAACATGTTGGCTCTTTCAAATATCCTATTTCATGTAAAAGAGAGGTGTAAGGATAGAACGCAGCACTTTTACTTCACTGGCCACTACAATTTGGAATATGATTCCCAAAAGTTTCCATTTTACTAGCAGCCAGACATCTCTGCAGAATTGGTGACTGGAACATGTGTATAAGTTAAGCAGAGAACACATGAGAACATTAGAGTGAAGACACAGAAGCATACTGCAGAAATGATTATTTCTATTTCATGTGATAATGGCTAATAATTTATATTGAGCTCTGTATAACTTATCATGAGCCACACAATTAGTTTTATGCTGAATAATATGAGTGCACAAAGAGGACCAGGGCATGGCATGATAAAATGCCATTGTTTTCTGCCCAAGAAGAGAAAGCCTCATTAGATAATTGGTACAAATGTGCCTCAGAATGCAAATAAAAGACCAGCGCATTCATTTGTGTTTGATTTGCATTCAGACTGGACGACGTACCTAACATCAGAGAAGTGCGGAGCGGTATGCAAATATGCCAAAGCTCTGCTCAGTCAGTCATGATGAAAGGAGGAAGCCAGCTCCATTGCGCTGATGGGCTACAAAGCGAAGGGCAGGGTATTGGGGAAATCATTTCTGCTTCTTCTTTGTCCCCTGATTAAAATGAATGCCTGTTAGGAGACGGCAAAGGAAGGACAAATACCTAGAAAGTCACACTCATTTTACTTTCATCACACGTGCAGTTACTAATGCACACAGCCAGCTGGAGAGAACCAGTTCAAATGAAGGCTAGTCAAAAAGAGGCATCAATCTGGAGCAGAAGAGATTTATGTTTGAGTTCCTTCATGTTTTTCCCAGTAGGGGACTGCCAGGATGTACGCCACTACAATTTCCAGCAATGGAATTAATGTATTCTTATCGACTTGCATTCCCTTAGAACCAGTCTTCAAAAACTATGTGATGAAAGTCATTGTAGGGTTAATCTCTTCTTGATGTGCTAGCTTTTTGTATACAAAAAACAGGGAGGTTTTGTTCTAGTTATGTGGTACAGTCTTTGAAGTCGTATGTCCTTTTCCTGATATGCTAGCATTCTATGTGTAGTAGTTAGCCACGCCACCATATTCTTGATTTACACCTTGCCAGTTTTAGGCCGCTAGAATAATGTTTTGAACTATAGGGGAAAGATCTATTCTACATGGAAGTGAGAAGTTCCTCTTCTGTGTGCGCATGCGCATAGATGCATGCTACAGAAACAGCAAAGGAAAAATGAAAAAGATATCTGGTTTAGCTAACCTATTCCAATAGGATTCATTACGACAATACATGATGACAACCAGTGTTTATTAAATGTCAACTACTATTCCCAGAATAGTCTGAAAACACAGACTGTACAACTTGGTGCAGCTGATGCCCATTTGGGCAATGAATAGAAACATTATGAACGAATGATTGGAAATAACATGTAGGATGACACCATTAATATGTAATGGGTTACATTTTTAAGGAGGATTTAGTGAAGATACTTTCTAAAGATAATGCAAATGGCTGGGTAAAAGTTATTTTACACAGGTCACAATCAGAGGCGGCCCTAGGTAATTTTCAACGGTAAGCAAACAATATTTTGGCGCCCCCCCCCCCCCAACCAATCATTGATATATATTTTCTGTTTGTCATGGGAGTTCTGTGTGCCATATTTGGTTCAATTCCATCATTGGTGGAGTTCAGAATGCTCTTTGATTGTAGGTGAACTATACATCCCAGTAACTACACTTGCCACATTTGCTCCCTTGCCTGGCCCGCTTTGGGTCCGGAGGCGTGCCTGAAGACCCCGGCGTGTGCACCAAAAGTCACCTCTTCTCCTGACTTTCTCCTCAGCCATTGGGACCGAGAGAGAGAGAGAGAGAGAGAGAGAGAGGTGGAGATGCCCACCTTTCCTGAAGGTAGGCGCAAAAACAAAGGAGGGAGCGGAGGTGGGAGATACCTCCAACCGGAGGGCGCTCTCTCTCTCTCTCTCTCTCTTGGTCCCAATGGCTGAAGAGAAAGTCAGAGAAGAGGCGACTTTTGGTGCACAGGCTGGGGTCTTCAGACACGCCTCCGGACCCAAGCGGGCCAGGCGCGGTGGCTCCGCCCCTTGACCCACCTGCGGATTGGGGAGAGGAGAGGAGGCGGGTGGAGCACCGGGGGATCGGGAAAGGGAGCTAGTCATGGGGAAGGGATCGAACGCGGAGAACGATTGGGCGCCGGCTCTGCTCGCGCACCCGGTGGCCAGGTGGATCTGGAACGAGAGGGGCTAGGCGAGGCTCAAGGGCCCGGCCCCTTTGGGAAGAGGATCACCCAGCAGCGAGGCATGAAAGCCGAGGCTCCCCTCGGACTGCTAGGGCTGTTGTGAGCTGAGGGGGCCGCTCCTCAAGTGGCAGTCGAGGGGCATTTACATAGGTGCCTATGCGCCCCTGGCAAAAAAAAGTGTTCTGCAACCACTTACTTCGCGTAATGGACGAGCTGCCCCTGGTCACAATTAACATTTCTAGATATTTTCTAGACATTTTCAAAAGTTAACTTTCAATACCATTTTAAGGAATTCTCAGGTGCATTTTGATGGGAGCTTTGTAAAATTGTGTGTCATTATTAATATGTTTATTAATTATTATTATTTTATTTGTTTTATTTGTACAATCAATTAAAAAAAATTATACTAAAATACTAAATAGTAACAAGAAGTCCAATTAGAAACAGATTATTTCTTAAACATTACTGCAGATTAATACTGGAATATTTTGTTGTTCATTCGTTCAGTCGCTTCCAACTCTTCGTGACCTCATGGACCAGCCCACGCCAGAGTTCCCTGTCGGCTATCACCACCCCCAGCTCCTCTAAGGTCAATCCAAGGATGCCATCCATCCATCTTGCCCTTGGTTGACCCCTCTTCCTTTTTCCTTCCTTTTTCCTCAGCATCATCTTTTCTAAGCTTTCCTGTCTTCTCATGATGTGGCCAAAATACTTCAGCTTTGCCTCTACTATCCTTCCCTCCAATGAGCAATTGGGCTTTATTTCCTGAAGTATGGACTGGTTGGATCTTCTCGTGGTCCAAGGCACTCTCAGAACTTTCCTCCAACAACACAGTTCAAAAGCATCTATCTTCCTTTGCTCAGCCTTCCCTATGGTCCAGTTCTCACATCCGTAGGTTACTACGTGTAATACTATTGCTTTTACTATACGCATCTTTATTACAAGAAGTTAAAAAAAACTCTTAAAATGCAGCTTTACGGGATGTACAATATCAGTAGCTGGTTGAATTGGGTTTAGGACTAACATGTGACTTGAGCTAATTTGACAAAACATGTAAAACCTCAATATGTAGAGATGGAAATGTTCTCAGTTGGGCTGTGTCTTAAATCTCAAGGTTAATCTAGTAATTTGGATGCACTGTGGCATCTTAAGTATTATATAAGATGGTTTTTTGTTAAACTGATTTAATTGGGTGCTTTTTCTAGTATTGCCACAAGATTGGTTTAATTTTTTACCATGGAGAGAAGTAGGGCATTATGGGAATGAAGAGTGCAACAAATATTAAGGAACATGGGATCACTACTGTGTGTGTGTGTTAAGAGGAAAAAAAGACTCATCCTAGTTAATTACAATCCACGAGCGGAGTAATTGGGGCAATTAAGGTCAACAACTTTTGGGCCACTCTTGAAGGGATATATCTGGAAAGAGTTTGTTGTATGATTTTAGGCTTACTGAATGTTTGCCTCTGAGCTAACTCGATGTAAGCTCCTGGCTTGCTGCCTATTTGATGCTGGCAATTTTGTCTTCCCTGCTCATCTCCATGAACAAGAAATGAAGATTAGGAGAAAGCATATTTTCTGATGGAAAACATTTCATGAATTAAATGCAAGGACCATACGTGGGTTTGATACTCCAGAGGAACTGTGACTGTATTATTACTAGAAAGTTTGTATTGAAGCTGCTGGTTTTTTTCATGAACTCTGCTGCATAAGAGTAAAATTTAAGTTTTGCATTTCTTTTACTTGTGTTGCTCCTTTTTTGGAATATACAAAGAACTAATCTTCTGGTGGCCTGCATACATCAGCAAACTGTAATAATAAAGATGTTGGTTGCTCCCAAATGGTTTCACTTTCTTGTGTGAGTGGCCTTGGTCTCCAAAAGCATGTGAACAGGATCCTTGAAGATGCTTGTAAGGACTGTACTTGGTATTACTTGAAAAGTGTGTAGAAACTTCACCTGATGTAGAATATTTCAGCTAGAAAGTCTTTCACTCTTGTATTACAAGAACACTGCCTCTTGGTTCCATTTTCAAGCTGAATGGAAAAGGGTCTTTTTGTGGTCACTCTTAGCTTCTGAAATTCCTTGCTTATTGAAGGAAATTGCCTCCCTCTTTGATGTCCTTCTGGCATCAGTCAAATAGACTCTTATTTAGTTAGGTTTTTGGTATGCCAACTATTCTGTTTTAAAGGGAGGGTTTAATATCCGTTTCTCACTGTTGCAATTTATTCCATTTTAACTGATATATTAAATTACAATTTTTTTAGTTACATTTGACTATTGTTCTTGAGCAAACTTTGATCTCAAACTTTTGAGATCAAACTTCAAATTCTCAGTCCACCATGAAAACACTCTGGGTAACCATGAGCAAATCACAGAGGAAAGCAAAAGTAACCCCCCCAACCCCCCCCCTCCATAATAGGTCCACCTCATGGTTGCTGAAAGTCAGAAATGACTTGAAGACACACAATAATTGTTAGTTTTCTTGAGAACCATTGTGGATGGAAAGCTGGGAAATATTACTTAACTAATTAGGTATGAGACTACCAGTCAGATATAATCCTCAAAAGCACATAACATGTTAAGAAACTACAAGTTAACAACCCTCCAAATAACAATGAAACCTAAGATTATTTTTGTTCTGAATTTGCTTGCAAATAATATTATTAAAAGGGATACATTTAAGTCACGCAATCTAACAATATGAAATTCTCTTTTCTCTTCATAATTCTTTTAAAATTAGAAGTCCTCTTGTAATACTGACAACACAACATGAAGCATAGCCACTGGTGCCCTCTATTTGCAATGAATCTTCCAAGTCATAGTGAATGAAAAACCTGACAAGAGTTTACTGCAGTTTCAGAGGAGAAACCTTTAAAATGGAAATTTGTTTTTGAACTCAAATATATCAGCTTTTGAAGTCAGATCTATCTATGTGTCTGTCTGTCTATGTGTTATGTCCAGGCTCAGTGCTTGGTTTTTCATATTTACGAAAAATCAAAAGTATGATGTTTTGTTCTCATTAACATCGATTCATTTGTTTTTCATTTTCATATCCTAATCCCAATAAATACTTCAGATTTTTTTTGTACCATAACCAAACGAATGTGTTCTACACTAACGATGGCCCCAAACATGCAGGCAGATTTTAACCTGATCTTATTCCACTTTCTCCAATCAGCTAGATGCAGAACATGATGAACATTTTAAACAGGAGGAAGAGAAAGAGATGAAGGCCCTGAAATACTTCTTCCTTCTTGCAACTTAATAGCTATTTGCCATTCAAGGTTAGGGGTGATTAATGATACCCCCCTCCAGCTACTGAACAGTAATTACCAACCACTGATATTAAAGGAAGTCACCCCTGGAAACTGTGTAAGCAGCAATGAACCATCACCTTACGTTGCTGCTATTGCCTAAGGAGCTGGTGTAGATAAAGATGTGGGAGGTGGGACTGGTGGATGGAGCTGAAAAAGCAAGGGTTTGCTTCTCAGAGGGTGAAAAATATGTGGGAAGATGCAGGCGTTAGGGAGAGGGGATTAGGAATAAGGAAAGGAGAAAGGGCAGAAGAACCACATTAGGCAAGACTGACCTCTTTCAAGGTTTCCAAGGCCTGGGAAAACATTTCTTGGCTGTATTGCAGCTTGGCCACTCTCATCATCTGGACCGCTCTCAAAGGATGGGCGCCAGGGTAATAGAACCTAGATGAAGGGAGAGGAGAAATATCATAACACCTTCGTCAGCTCTCTCACCTTCACAGTCCCTGCCTCATTGGCAAGCTATTAGGGTGGGCCTGCAAAGCCATTGTGAATTTTAATCAAGTATTCAGAGGAAAATGAGCCACACTGCGGGGGAGTGTGAAATACTGAGGGGAATTAACACATTATTACTTCCCCTCTCCATAGACTGGCTTTTACGTTATCCTGTTAGAAAAGTGACGGGTGGGATTAATTCACGCACCTCCATTGCACAGGACAATAGCTCTAACTGCACTTAGTGTTAAACAAAGAGGTTTTCGGACACTGTATCACTGGGACAAATTCATTTGCACAAAAGAGATTTCAGAATGTCTGCTCTGTAATTAATATTAGCACTGGACTTGAGGAATGTATCATGAAACAGAGAACTTTCATCCTGTTGGCCCATTACACTTTCCTGGTCATGTTTTAAAAACTCACAAAGTCACTGATGAAACTGTGTTGTTGTAGGTTTTTCGGGCTGTATGGCCATGTTCTAGAGCCTCTGAAGATGTTTGCCACAGATGCAGGTGAAACGTCAGGAGGGAATGCTTCTACAACATGCCCATACAGCCCAAAAAACCTACAACAACCCAATGATTCCAGCCATGAAAGCCTTCGACAGTTCATTGATGAAAACTGTGTATTTGTAATATCTAAACCAGGGTACAAAACACAAAGGTTTCCAGATGTTGTTGTATTAGAACTCCAGGATCCCTACCCATTCACTATGCTGGCTAGGATTGCAGGGATCAGCTCATAACATCTGGAGGAAAGTGTAAGTCCCACTCCCTGGTCACACTGGAAGAGCCAAGCAAGCTGACCCCCCAAAAAGCTGGTGCAGCAGCATGACTTACGAAATACCCAATTGAAGCAGGTTCTCAGCCATAAATTTATTTATTATTTATTTATTTACTCCATTTGTATACCGCATTTATCAGCCTGAGAATGGCGACTCAATGCGGTTTACAATAAAAATGGGCACACTGACAGTAAATAAGACACACATACACAAACGACACACATATAGTCATCAACGCCTCAATTAGAATCAGATCCCGTTCTCACAGTCCTTTTTCGTTCCTTGTTCAAATGCCGTCTTACTGAGTTAGTTGTTATTGCATAGTTATCCGAATGCCTGCTCATAGAGCCACGTCTTAACCCTCCTCCGAAACACCAGCAACGAAGGGGCCTGCCTGATGTCCACTGGTAGGGCATTCCATAGCCGAGGGGCCACCACCGAGAAGGCCCTGTCTCTCGTCCCCGCCAACCGCGCTTGTGACGCTGGCGGGACCGAGAGCAGGGCCTCCCCGGATGATCTTAACGTCCTCGCCGGTTCATAGGTGGAGATGCGTTCGGAGAGGTAAGTGGGGCCGGAACCGTGTAGGGCTTTATAGGCTAAAGCCAGCACCTTGAATTGTGCCCGGTAGCAAATTGGCAACCAGTGGAGCTGGCTCAACAAGGGGGTGGTGTGCTCCCTGAGTGCCGCTCCCGTTAGCAACCTGGCTGCCGAGCGCTGGACCATCTGAAGCTTCCGGGCAGTCTTCAAGGGCAACCCCACGTAGAGCGCGTTGCAGTAATCTATGCGGGATGTGACGAGAGCGTGGACTACCGTGGCCAAGTCCGACTTCCCAAGATACGGGCGCAGCTGGCGCACGAGCCGAAGCTGTGCAAATGCTCCTCTGGAAACTGCTGAAACTTGGGGTTCCAAGCTTAGCGAAGAATCCAGAGTCACACCCAAGCTGTGAACCTGCGTCTTCAGGGGGAGTGCGACCCCGTCCAGCACAGGCTGTAACCCTATACCCTGTTCGGCCTTCCGACTGACCAGGAGTACCTCTGTCTTGTCTGGATTGAGTTTCAATTTGTTCACCCTCATCCAGTCCGACACAGCGGCCAAGCACCGATTCAGGACCTGGACAGCCTCCTTAGTAGTAGGTGGAAAGGAGTGACAGAGTTGGACGTCATCTGCGTACAGATAACACCGCACCCCGAAACTCCGGATGATCTCTCCCAACGGCTTCATGTAGATGTTAAATAACATGCTATCATTCTAAAAAGGAAGCAACATAATGTAACTTCTGATTCCATTTTAACCATTTATCATTGGCAGTGCTTCCCAAAATTTGATCTTCCAGGTGTTTTGGACTTCAGCTCCCAAAATCCCTGATCATTGGCCAAGGCAGCTGAGGCTTCTGGAGGTTGAAGTCTCAAAGATCTGGAGGACTAAATTTGAGATTCATATAGAAAGGTTGGGAGAGCAAAACCACTATTCTTTCCTGTGATTCTGACAGCTTTGCGTGATGAGTGGATGCAGAACAGCCTGGAAAAATATTTTTATGTCTCCTGGAACCATAAAAAAGGAGAGTGAAGATGTTGGGCTGTGGACCAAACCTTTCTCATTTTTGCCATTAGCACAGCAGTTCAGGTCTTTCTTGAACCTCTAATCCAGGCCAAGGTTCGGTGTTTTGTTTTATGATGCATTAACTGGAAGATCTGTTTACCTTCAGGCTGTACCCACAGCAAAGGAGTGTGCTTGTAGGCATTGCAAAATTGACTTTTCCCCTCTTTACATGTACCCACAGTGGGTTCCAGTATACTTCCGTATACATCCGTGTGGATGTTACGGATGGAAGTTCTTGATGGGTGCCTTTCTAATATCCTTGGAAAAAAATACTATTTTGGACAGTGTTATATAATAGAAAGAAATGTCTGTCTTCAAATGATACATTATTGAGTTTCTAGTTGGTTGCCTAATTACAGTACTTTCATAGGAATTAGTTGTGACTAACGAACAGTATTGCTGACACCGATTTTTGTGCTGGAGATGGGGCTAAGGGACATCCAAAGATGGTGGGAATACCTTCACCGACCTGTAGAGTGATTTGAAGGTATTATAGAGCTATACCTCAGCTGCTGAACTTACTGACTGAAAGGTTGCCAGTTCGAATCTAGGGAGTAGGATGAGCTCCTGCTGTTAGACCCAGCTTCTGCCAACCTAGTAGTTTGAAAACATGCAAATGTGAGTAGATCAGTAGTTACCACTTCTGTGGGGAAGGTAACTGCACTCCATGCAGTCATGCCAGCCACATGACCTTGGAGGTGTCTACGGACAACGCCAGCTCATCAGCTTAGAAATGGAGATGAGCAACCCCCCCCCCCCCGAGTTGGACATGACTAGACTTAATGTCAGGTGAAACCTTTACCTTGGTATGTACTCTCTGCATGCGCACACACACACACACATACACATACATATAGCTCCATAACATCTTCAAATCACTGTATATACATATGGGAAATATATTTCTGACATCTGAAGAGGTCACAAAATGACCTTGGGAGCTACATATATGTGTGTGCATGATATATTTAAAAAATACAGTGGACACTGCTAACCAGAACTCTCAAGCAACCTGTGAAAAACATTTGAAGAAATAATACTTTAAATTAAATTAAAATCAATTTTTAGAGGAAACGCAAGTTTAAATGAAGTTTGTCTTTATTTGTTAGACCCAGCTTCTGCCAACCTAGTAGTTTGAAAACATGCAAATGTGAGTAGATCAGTAGTTACCACTTCTGTGGGGAAGGTAATTTGATTATTGGACAACAAGTTAAACATGAGCCAACAATGTGATGTGGCGGCAAAAAAAGCCAATGGGATTTTGGCCTG